AGTATCGGTAAGTACAGTTACTCTCAAGTAACTCAGTCCAGGACTACAACCCTATATTACAATAATATGCATAATTACTCATATAAAATCACATTATACTTTATGGTATTATTCTCAAGTACATTACTTTCAGTTAAATAGCCATCCTCAGCCTGGTGTCTTACTAGTTGTGGATGCTGTGAATTGTAATTTAAGCCCTGTGACCAGGACCTGCACTGGAGATCCTCCAGTAAAATACAGGTATATTAGCTCCCCCTATACTGGAGATCCTTGCATTTAGAAAAAAATACTGGTATATTAGAAAGTAATAATAGTTTCTAATATACCAGTATTTATTTCTAAATGCAACTGCTGCTCAGTGGGATCACACTAATAATACTGTACATTATAAATGCAAATTAGTAAGTACTCTTTTTATAATATCATACATAATTGAACTGGGCTGCATAAATCTGTATGACCACTAGATGGCAGGAAAGTGACAAAGAAAATGTTTTTGCCCTCTAGTGGTCCTACAGATTTTTGCAGCCCAGTTATGATGGCTCTAATTGAGATGCTTGGGAAAAACTGAATATTGAAGAGAAATAGCATCAGGAAACAGGATATAGGCATGCTAATGACCTATAGATCACAGGAAAAATGCTAGTACAGATTTTCCTCAGGTTGGAGAAGACTTAGGTGTAGGAATACAGCTTTAGTCTATGTTAAAATAGCTTTTGGTACTTCTCCAGAAGTAAGTGATTTTCTTCCTACTGCAATTTCTATATGCCACACTATATCTAAGTGTCTAAACACATGTGAACAGGCAACCTTGCTGCATAGAACTGACAGTAACACAGAGGAAATTCAGATTGCTTCCTGTTAGGCTGGTCCAAATTGTCCTTTCCCTTCCCTTATTTCTTCTTGCCATTATTTTGGGCAATTCCAACAAATACTATGGTTATGACACAAGTTGTCAAAAACAATAAAATTCAACATTAAACTTAGGACTCCAACTTCAAAATGAGAACAAACCAGCAGGTAACAAAGCTAACCTCAACAACAGTCTTTCGTTAAAAATACAAATTTCAGAAAGCTAGTTAAAATGGGTTATTTATGGAGCTACAAAAAATAGTTGGATGCTATAAAAGAGATCTCTAGGAAAGTCTTTCTGACATCAGGAGGGTCATTTTTGATTCCTTTCAGAAGCATACTGGAAACAGAGCTTGAAGGTACAAGATGCCACAACTCTGCTGGCCCACGTCTGGTCTGAGACAGCATTAATGGCCTTCAGGGAATCCTCTGCCCTCAATTCCACAGAAGGGACATGAAATAACTTCACTTCAGCTGAACCTTGCAAGCCACATGGAATAGATGGATCCTTTATGCTAAAAGCTTTCTCCCAAATTCTCTTGGGCTGTGAAATCCATCTGTTATTGTTTAAATGGTGCTAGCAACAGCACAAAGAACACTTACAAAGAGGCATAAGAAGACAGGTCTCAGCTCAAGGAACTGAACAACCTTAAAGGTAACAAAAGGAAACAATGCACCACAAGTAGAGAAATGGAGGTAGGAAGATTCACCCTTATGCAGGAGAAAAGGATTAAGGGGACAATATTATCTTTGCTTTTATCCCACCAAGAATAATCAGGATTTCCCAAACATACTCCAAGGGTACTGAAGTTGTAGATCACAGCATCAGGTTGGGAAAGGTGATCTTCACAACATTGTGAGGTAAGTTAGGCTGAAGGTCTTCCACTGATTTCTGATTTGAACCTTGTCACTTCAAGTGCTAATCCAAGGCTAACTAATATAACATACTGGCTTTCCACTGACTTGGCTACACCCACCATAGCCCAAAAAAGTAATCGACATTCTGTAATACAAAGTAGCCTACACTGAGAATAGAAGTTTCTAATTGCCTTGATTACTGTTGATCTCCTTTTTCAGAAAAGCAGACAGCCACCTGTTTTTTGGTCACGCAGGGAGGGATTACAGCTGGCAGAGTATCATAATTTACCAATTTGATACGTTAAATGAAAATATGGAAACAATTAGATAAAACAGAATTTACACAGAGAAACCAATTTCTTATTTCATGGTCTTCAGAGGGACACACATGCAAATATCTTGGCAAAGATAAGATCTTCCTTTCTACTCTAGCCAGTGATTAAATGTTAATATGAGTATACTACATTTTTATACTGAAGACAACATACTGAAGTTCAAGAATGCTGAAAAATTTACTCATTCATTGTTTGCAAAGTCAACGCCATAAAGGGAGGGAGAGGGAAAGAGGGAGGTCTTGTAAGTGATACGTACCTGGACTATTTCTAACATCTCTGCTTTGCTGATGTATCCATTTCCATCCAGGTCGTACATACTGAATGCCCACTTCAGCTTTTGCTCCAGTTTACCTCGGGACGTTACACTCAAAGCTATGATGAATTCTCTGAAATCTATTGTCCCATCGCCGTTTGCATCAAATGTACGGAACACATGTTCAGCAAATTTAGAAGCGTCCCCATAAGGAAAAAAATTCCCATAGATTTTCTTAAATTCCTCCATGGACAAATGTCCACTTGGACAGTCTCTGAGAAAGCCTTTGTACCACTCCTGGATCTCATGTTCAGTAAAGTCTGTGCTTTCAAGCAAATCTTGCATCACTTCTGGGCGTAACTTGCTGTTCTGTTTTCCCATTGTGGTATCAGGATTTTATCTAAAGAAGGGAGGGGAAAAAAGCAGTTTATTCTCTTGTTTACAAAACCAAGGGCTGATTAACAGCATGGGCCTTAGAAAACCTTTTAAAAGGATGCTTCTCTTGGTGATGATTAACGTTTTCATTTGAAATAGCTCAGTGCAGTCCGTTTCTCCCAGACCAGAAGAATCCCTCAGCATGCAAATGAGAAGTAACATATTTTCACTTGTGACTGAACTTCCTTACTTTATCCTGAATGGCATTTTGTGTTTTGTAAGGCAGTGGGGAAGAGAGATCCCTGCTCTTTAGTAAATCTGGGAGGAGACATGAGAGATTGAAGAAGGATACAGTACAGATGAGCCAATGCAAAGCCCTACAGGAGTCTACCATAATGAACTGCTAGGAGGCCCTATTTTCCTTAAGACTGCTTATATCCGTAGTGAATTATTTTATTTATTTATCACATTTGTATAGCCACCCATCTCATGTTGTGACTGTGGGCGGCGTACATAATAAAACAATGATATATTTCCAGATAGTACAGTGGTACCTCGGGTTACGAAAGCCTCTGTTAACGAACTTTTCGGGTTACGACCAGCTCTGGCCGCAAAAATTTACCTCGGTTTGCGAACTCCGCCTTGGGTTACAAACTGGATCCACGGCCATTTTCCCTGCTCCATGCGGTTGCGGCTTCCTGTGGGCGAGATCGCAGTAGCAAGGAGACGTTTGGTGAGGCTTGTGGTGTGTTTTGTGGCGTTTTGGAAGGTCCGGAGGG